CAAAGAAGGAGAAGGATAGGCAGCCATTGGGGGAAATATCTGGACTGGATCTTCCCAGAGTGAAACAAGGATGGGAATGGTCAAGAGCTCTTCAGGAAATGGGTGGGGAACAGAGGTATGGGGAAAAAGGGAAGCTGGGGTGGTGCGGGGGCAGACACTGTTCTATGACAGGCTCACACTAGACCATCAGTAGAAGTCACCTAGTCTTGGTTTCCAGGGCAGGAACAGCCACATGCTTGAAGTAGCCCCAACTACCTCCTTGTGTCGTTCATGCGTGCTGATAGACAGGCTGCATCTCTCCCAACAGCAACAGGATCCTTTTTGCTGGGGAAATGGCTCCACCTACCCCTGTACGCAGTGCCTCTGTGTAGTGCGGCAGTGGATGTTGCTATCCAAGACTACGTGGCTGACGTGGCCTTCGAACTCATCTATCAGAACAAGAGTGAGATCTCCACAGAAGTCATCTTCGTCTTCCCCCTGGGCCCCAACATGGCCATTTACTCCTTCCAGGCCCGCAGTGAGGAAGCCACGGTCCAGGCCATGCTGCAGGATGAGGTACCAGCATCCAGGGTGAACCAACAGAGCAACAAATGGGCAAACCACCACAGGGGCATTCAATGAGCAGCCCATGACCGGCCTGGTGGTCCGCTTTCTGTCCCTCCTTTTCCCACCCAGGCCCAGCAGACACATGAGGCTACAGGAGGCTGGGAGAATCTGGAATACCTTCACGATCAGTCTCAGCATCCAGGCGAGGTGTTTGCCTGCTTCCTGGGCACCCTGCCCCCTGGCAGGGAGGTGGTTGTGACCTTGCACTATGTCCAAGAGCTGCCACGGAAGCCCGACGGAGCAGCCCATTTTGTGCTGCCGCCCACACTGCATCCCTACTCAAAGCACTATGGTGAGTGACCCCACAAGGAACCTGCCCTCCCAGTCACACACCCCACAGAAGGGTCACAGACTCCCCATGTACTTTACGAACAGACATGATGCAACTTCCCTTTGCACACACATTTTTCCCCAATGCGCCCTCTGGACAGATTCACATATTCTTCCTTGTGCCCCATGCGGGGATCCACACCTCCCACACACATTTCCCACAAGCAGACCCATGGAGCCCTCCATACGCCTTACTGACCACCCCCAATTCTCTCAGTAGGTCCTATACATGGATGCCAAATCCTGTCCCCCACCCACCCATCCCTGCAGGGAGAGCCTTTGCCCTCCCCAGTGCCATGTTTCTCCTTGCAGCCTGGAAATGTGGCATTAGCAAGCTGCCCTACAGCCTGCTGCTCACTGCTAGCCTGCAGTCACCCCGTGGAGTGGCCAACGTGCAGGGCAACTTCACCCTCACCCCTTTGATCTACACTGCCCAGGACTGCAGCACTGCACAGGTATGTCCTCCAGAGTGCCAGGATCCCGGGGGGAGCTGGGGAGCGGTGTCATCGCCGAGATAAAGGGGCTGCACTGGGATCGGGGCCTGTGCTCCTGAATGAATACTGGGCCAGGTCCCCTCCTCCTGTGTATGACCAGGCACCCCTTCTTCAGGTCTCACTGGCTGGCAGCCCCCCCCATCAGGATGATTTGGAGTTGCTGGTGTATTTTGGAGATCCCACAGCAGTCAGTGCTGCAGTGGAGAAGGGAGACCCAGGGGCCCCTCCAGGTGAGTGCAGCTGGGGAGAGAACATGGGGGCACCTCTGGGTTGCAGGAGATTTTGGGGCATAGGGAGACACTGGGTGGTGGAAGCTGAAAGCACAATGAGAATCAGAACCAGGATGAGGAGGGGAGTCCCTATGTGGCCTTCATCCCACCTCATACCTCCTCCAGGCTCCCTGCTTGGTGATCCCATGGTGTTGGTGACGCTGGCACCCAGCATCCCTGAGGCAGTGCCTGGGCAGCGCCAGTCTGGAGAGTTCATCTTCCTCCTGGACACCACTTTCCTTGAGCATGCACAGGTACCCCCACAGAGCAGGGACCAGGATGGGGTGGAGGAGCAGGCTGATGGGGAGCGGGCTAGGGCAGGCATTTACAGAGGGGCAGAGGTGTGAAGGGGGACTGGTGGGGCCTGAAATGGTTCTGTAATATATAGGGTGTCCAGGGGGCTCCAGGACACTGTCTCAGCTCATCCAGGGCCCTGAAATGGTCCTGAAATATCTTGGGTGCTCAAGGGGCTCCAGGACACTGTCTCAGATCATCCAGGGGAGTCCAGAGGCTTTAGGAAGACCAGACTATGGGCAAAGGCATCTGCAGGCTGTGTCTTTCCACAGGATTCCCTGCTCTTCCTTCTCAAAAGCCTGCCCCTGGGCTGCTACTTCAACATCTACTGCTACGAAGAAACCTCTGTGGGCATCTACCCGTGAGCAAACATGGGGCAGGCTGAGTGCTGTGGGGCTGGGTGAGGTGCTGATGGGCAAATGTGCATGCTCCATAATCAGCTGGTCGGGATGGGGCAAGGTCGGGTGCTGGAGGGCTCGACTGGCTACTGTAGGACAGGGTTGCATTCTAGGGATGGGATTGTTGTGGCATTATGGGATAGCACCTCTTGGGGTTCTGCTGAGCAGAGTCTTGTAGGATCTATGAAGCTGGGTCTAATCAAAAACTACTATGGAGCAAGGACTTGCAAAGGACCCTAGGGCACAGCTGTGGCAAGTGCTATGGGGCAGGGTTTCAGGGAGCAGAAAGTATCGAGCAATGTGCTCTCCAAACATGCTGTGCCCCCTGCAGGCAAAGTATTGAATATACTCAGGACAACCTGACCAAGGCCATGAAGCGCATCCCCTCCACCAGCTCCAGTTTGGGTGATACCGATCTGCTGGGAACCCTCCGCTCAATCTACAGTACCCCTCGCCCCCGCGGGCATGCACGACAGGTCTGGGTGCATGGAGGGGTGGAGGGAGAGGTGTCCCAGAAGGGGAGAGAGGACACAGGAGGGTGGGTGGAAGGAGCCACTCAAAGTGCATGGCAGTCACAAGGGAACAAGTGGGGTGTGGGGGAATGGAGAAGTGGGACTATATCTTTGGGTGTTTCTGTCCATGAGTGGATATCTCCCCCTGGGGTAGTCTCTCTACAGGGGGTCTCTCTCCTGGCCCCCTCTCTCCATTCCAGGGACCTCCTCGCCCCATTTTGGGGTCCCTGTGCAGAGCCCCACCACTCATGTCCCCTGTCTTCCAGCTCTTCATCTTCATGGCCAGGCTACCTCCTGACAAGGAAGCCATTGCAGCTGAGGTCTGCCGTCACCGCAATAGCCACCGGTAATGGGGACTCTCTGCCCTGAGTCCTCCCGTCGCCCTTTGGTTTTCCAGTCATTTCCATCCCTGATGAGGACCCCTGTTCACCAGTGCCTGCCCCAATCCTTGGGCCCCTCCAGTGTCCCAGAGAACCTTCCTACCCTGCACAGCTCTGCTGTGCCAAGCCTCCACGTGGGAGTCTTTGTTTACTACTCCCACAGCTAAGGCACCTTTCACAGACTGAGCAGGGAGACTGGGGCACAGAGCTTGTACACCCAGTGTGCCCCCAAGTTCTGCCCCAGACCCACTAGACTGACCCCAGCTCTGGGCCAAGTCTCACCTCTCCTCTGCCAGCTCCCTGTCTAACCCCAGCTCCAACCCCAGTCCTTCACTCCCCACTCTTCCTCATGCCTCTTTGTTCTGTGCCCCAGCTTTGTTGCCCCAGCTTTAACTCCAGCCTGTGTTCTCCAGCTCTGTCCTGACATCCTTGCACCCACCCTCTGCCTCTCATTTCTGACACCTTTCCCTGTTTCCCCCATAGGTGTTTCTCCTTCTGCTTCTCGAAGGACAGCGCTGCCCTGGCTAAGGCCCTGGCCAGGGAGACAGGGGGTGAAGCTACCTACATATCTGACAACAGTGCAACAGTTGGGGTAGGAACCCAGGAGCCCCAGCATGTCCCCCTCTACTCAACAGACACACTGACTTCCAAGTACCCCAGCACCTGGACTGCCCACATACAGCAGTCAAGACCCAGCTGCCCCAGGAACCCAGGCACCCTGACTCTACCCCACCACCCCACCCCACTGAGAACCCAGGTGCCTGGGCTTCTGCCCTGCTATAACCCACAGACCTGACTCCACCCAGGGACCCCAGCTGGTGCAGGCTACCCCACACATTCCACTGTCCACCAGGGAACCCCAAAACCGGGAGCCATGGGCTGAACCCTGATGGAGCTGCAAAGTGTGGCATCCTGCCCTCTGCCCCCAGGTGTTGAAGATCCTGAAGAAGGCCCTCAAGCCAGCAGCTGAGGGAGTCTCTCTGAGCTGGACCCTGCCCCGTGGCCTGGAAGTTGAGGTGCTGGGGGGCACCCCTCAGTTCATCTTTCAGGATCAACACAGCGTCCTCTACGCCCAGATCCATGGACAGGCACAGGTGAGAGCTGGGACCACAGTCACCCCCAGCTTCCTCCCAATGGCCTCCCAATAACCACCAGTAATGTTTCAGTAACTTCCCAATATCCCCCAGTAACCATCTTGTGTCCCCAGTAACCTCCAGTATCTTCCCATGTGTTCCTAGGATACGACAGTGGCCAAGGGCATCATGACCTTGCAGTACAGCCTGGATGGCCAGGATGTCACTCACACAATTGAATTTCCACTGTGCCCACAGGGAGATGGCCGGTGAGAGCCTGTCCTAAGGGAAGATGCATGCATCCCACCCCTTTCTAACACAGACTCCACCTGAGAGGGGGCCCAGTTAGCTTATGCATTCTCACCTACACACAATCCCAAACTGGCAGAGAACCCAGGTGTCCAAGCATGCCCTCCTTCCCTACTTTGACCTCACAGGGGTAGGACCCAGGAACCTGGGTATCACTTCCCTCCAGACAGGCAAGGACCCAGGCATCCAGGCTTTCTCTCTGCCCATCCTCATCCCTGAAGGGAGAGAACCCGGGTGGCCAGGCTCCCTCACTGTCCACCTTTCCCCAGCATGGAGACGAGCCAGGTGGTCAGGCCTCACCCCACTCTGTTCCCAGACAGGCTGGGCATCGTCTGGCCGCCAGATGCTTGCTGAAGAGGTTGTTGCCAGAGGCTGTGAGTGCGTCAGGGGATGAACCAAGGCATCGTGCAGTTGAGATCAGCCTCACTTCGGGGATCATCTGCCCCTTTACCAGCTACGTGGGGGTTCGCACATCACAGAAGGTCAGCTGGTACCAAGGTAAGGAAAGGCATGTGTGGGAAAGAGCTGGTGGGGCAGCTCCATGGGATGCTGTCATTCCACTGGAGCTGGAACATCAGCCACAGGCCAACCCCATCACCACCAGGTGTTTCTTTCCCACGTGCTTAATTCAGCCCCTTTCCTTGTTTGACCTCCAAGGGCCCCTGGCACTGTTGCCACCCCAGAAGTCACTCATCCCCTGCCAGATTGTTGAGATTCATGCTCCCATTAAAGAGTCTTCCTGCCGTCCTGTGACAATCTGGGTCCCACCTGCCTGGCTGACAGCAGTGCATCAGTTGTGGCTTGCCCTCTGTCGACTCACCCAGGGCATTGCTGCCCTGCCCCAGCGGGGGGCTTGGACAAAAGGTATAGGGTAACGTAATGTCTTATAGGAGGGTTATGCTGCCATGTCTTGCCCATGGCATGGAAACCAATGAATTTTGCCTTTAACCCTTCCCTTATTTCACCTTAAACCTGAAAGTCCGTCAGCGGATATGAGACCCAGCACAGGGACACCCAGGGAGGGGACAGGGATGGTGCTGGACCAAATACACATTTGGATAAGATGGTATCAAGGGAGGTCTTGGGACATGGCTGGGCAGGAGTGCCAGGAGAAGAAGCAATGATCAAAGAGGGGGGTGAGATAGGGGTGTCCAGAAAGGGCTGCAGATGGAATTGCTTTGGGGACACGCAGGAGGGAGCTTGGACTGCAGGGAGCTGCCTAAAGAAGAGCTGAGATAATGTTCTGGGGCATTGCACAGGTGAGTAGAGAGGGGTCAGTTTCCTGTGATTCTGCCATGTTCACATCTTCTCCCACAGCATGTAAACCACCACGACCATCTGTTTCTTCTCTCAAGCATGTGAATCCCATGGAATTTGTTATGTCCTCTTCAGTTTTGGGGTTTTGGTCCCTCAAAGCTATTGCTGAGTGCCAGGAGCTGGTGGCACTGCAGAATGCAGATGGCTCCTGGGCCCTCAGCTCAGGACTGGCCTCTGTGCTGGAAATCGATGAGGCTGAAATCAAGGCAAAGATGCCTGGTGAGGTAAGGGGAAAACCTCTTATGGTGGCAGTGTGCCATCCTGGGGCAGTGGGGACCCCTTGGCTGGTGGCAACACTGGCATCCCAAGGGCAGACAGAGAGAAATGAAGGGATCAGAAACCAGAAGCCACAAAGCCCCTCGTGGTGGAGCGGAGCTGGTAAGTCTTGGGGGCCTTTTCCCTGCTGATCCCCACAGCATAGCCTCCCTTCTCTCTCCAGTGGGACCTGCCTCACCCCTTTGCAGGACCACAACTTCCTGGGGGCAGTTGAAGGAGTCCTGTGTCCCCTTTCTCCTTTCCATCTGTGGACTCTCCCCCCTGCCTGACCCACCTAGTGACCCTGTCTCTCCCTGATTGCAGTGTCACAGCTGGACAAGTGCCTGGAGGCAGCCAACACCCTCCTTGGGAGCAGCGTGAAGCCAAGTGTCTTCAGGCTTTGAGAACGCATGCCTTCTGCTACAGACTGGCAGCACCTGCAGAGCTAAAAAGGGCCAGAAAGCAAAGCCTAAATTCACCTACCATGCTGGGATACCACTGTTGCTACCAGCTAGGGTCTTACATTACAGATGAATTCTCACCACTTATGTCTTATACTAGCTGGGCTGAAGCTGTATCATGCTGAACTCCTCAAGAGCAAACCTCTAGTTCAGAGCCTCCAGCATGTTTGGTTTGGGCGGAGGTGGGAGTGAGAAGGAAGCATCACATTCCCCAGTCGTTGCCCTTCCCGAATTTGGCTTTGACAAAATGGGCTACTGGCCTCCACAATGACGGTGCTTAGGGACATGGTTTAATGGTGGACTTGGCAGTGTTAGGTTAATGGTTGGACTTGATGATCTTAAGGGTCTTTTCCAACCTAAATGATCCTGTGATTCTATGGTTTATGGCTTGACAAGAGAGTGTCATGCACACTAGAAAAGTTGGGTGTTTAGCAGTGACAACAGCAGGCACAACAGCAGTGGCTCCCAATGAAGGACTCCTGCTGCACCCCACTTGCTGACCTCTTTGCTTTACCCCAAAAGTCCAGGCTGTGTCAGGATCTCCCATATCTGCATTGCCATGTAAAACAATCGCTTTGGAAGTAAAACTCTGATCTCCATCAGACCCAGCCCATCAGATTGCCCAAGAGAACTCACGCGGGGCGAGACTGATTTGAAAACTCTCAGCATGTTGGAGGTGGAACCGCAGGAGCTTTTGATTAGCAAACAAGTCATGCAATGTACTCCCTTGTGCCCCAGGGCCCTGAATTCATGGGTCTCATTCCATGTTGGCAAAGTCTCCGATTCATTTTCCAATAAACAGTGAGTCTTCTGTAAGCCAAAAGGTGTGACATAGCCTTTGCCTCAGCTGGGTCTATGATCCTTCCTTCCAGGGGCCACCTATGAGTCATCAGGAGGGGCATGAAAGGACAACACTTCCCAGAGAGCTGTGTCTGGCAATACAGTAAATAAGGTGTTGCCGTTGCTCTTGGAAGAGCACAGACCTGTTCTAGGTTAGCAAGACAAGAGCTGAGGACTTGCCAGGCTTTTTCTAGGCTACTTTTGGCTTGAACTTATTTCAGCTTGGTCTTAGCCGTAGCAGCTGTAGCAACACTTTGCCCAGCAGACAGATGACCAATGTCTAACTTATCCTAGCTGTAACAGAAAAATTGTCAGGTCATTAATGTTCAGAGTGGTTTTTGCTTTAACTTTTTAACTCCATTGGAGCATGTAACTGAGAAAAGAAATGCTGATCTCCCTTTAAGCTTCACCTCTGCTAACTGGAGCAGACACAGCACAAATGTCTGTGTGCACTGACAGCCCCTTCCTGCTCTGGGGGTCAGTGGGGAGACAGGGGACTCACTTTACCCAGAGATGCAAATGGGACAGGGCTGAGAGGAATGTGCATGCTCCTTGGGGTGTAGGAGGAGGAAAGAAGGGCATGGGGACCTCACATTTTGCAGAGGTGAATCATGGCTGTGAGGAAATACTGGTAGCTCAGCTTGTTATCCAAAATTAATGCTGTTGTAGAATGTCCATTGTAAAGCCCTACCCTACCTATGCTTTTGCTTAGTTAGTAGATTGCTAGAGTAATTGAAAAGGAGACAAGCTGGTGTATTACTGTATTGTTGTGTTGATTAGTAAGCGATGAAGAATCACTTATGATGTGCCAAGGACAAAAAATAAGGGAAAGGTAATTTGCACAAGGGGAGATCGCGACCACCGACTCAAGTGGAAGCCAGAAGAAACTACCCAAGCTCTCCTTGAGCATGTGTCACCAAAATCGGGAGGAATTAACCTTGTAACACCAATGTAGTGTTAAAAGGCAGGCATTCTTTACTCACAGCGCTGGATGCACGGGGGATCGCTCCACCTAACATGCATACCTGGCACCTGGTCCAATCAGGTTATATTGATCAAATACATGCATATTCATTACATTCATACATAATCAATAACATCTTCTCTAATGATTGGTCCAAATTCTCTCGCTTCCTATGTAATTACTGCACAGACTCAGTTGTGCACTTCCATTGTTCTCTTTTGAGTAGGTGGTATCATTTGGGTAGGTGATCAATGAGTCGGTGGTCG